TTGCTCCACGATACGAACAAAAACTCACCATACGACGTTACATTAGTTCGCATTTTTCATTTGTTTTTCTTACTACAGTTATTTTTTTAAATGTATTACTTGGCTTTAATTTGAGTATGTTTTTCGCGTTGGAACGAATTATTTGGTTTTACATGTAATCGTATGGGAAAAGATGATCCACCTTACGACATTTTCATGATACGATCTCAGTTTTGGAACGGATTAATTTCGTATCCTGAGGTACCACTGTATATATATGTGGGTTGTTCAAAAAGTTCCCAAACTTTTTGAATAGCATGCCTTCAGTTGATTATTTTTTAATCTACTTGGATGTGTTGTGTCTGCGGAAACTTCCCGAGTAACTCCTTTAATCTGTTTGTTGATATCTTGTTTTGGTGATTAGTTATGGCCATTTATGTGAAGGGGTGTTTGTGGGGTTTGGTGAAAAATCGGATCCATGGAAATGAGCTCTTTGAAGCAGCAGCATTGTTGTGTGAAACTCGGGAAATCCTTCACGGAAACTTCCCATGGGTGGGTGGAACACCCCCACCCCAAAAAAGCTTGACAAGTTAGCTCGAATGTTAAGGTGATGTTGACTGTTTTTTCAATGCAAAAGGGGTTGTGCATCATGAATACCTACAGGCCAGACAGTCAACACGGAATACTACCTGGGGGTTATGAAATGCTTAAGAGACAGAATCAGGCAAAAACGGCCTGAACTTTGGAGGTAGGTGAGTGGTTTTTTTTTTCACCACGACAACGCACCGGCTCATTTGTCCCTCAGAACTCCTGAGTTTTTGATCAAAAACAAGACTGCTGTGCTTCCCCACCACCCTACTTACTTGACCTGGCCCCATGCAACTTTTTCCTGTTCCCCAAACTAAAAAACATGCTCAAAGGAAAAAATTTGCCACCATTCCAGTGATAGAAAAAAAAAATGACGGAGAAGCTTATGAGCATTCCATAAAAGGTGTTCCAGGACTGTTTCAAAAAGTGGAAACACCATTGGGATAAGTGTATACATTAGGGGAGGAGACTACTTTGAAGAGGACCCTGACAAATAAATTGTAAGTGAAGTATTTTTTTTGTAATAAATAAAGTTCGGGAACTTTTTGAAAAACCCTTGTATTGCTTTGTACAAGCATTTTTAGTTGTTTCTTAATTAAACCTTAGATTTTAAACCTTTAATTTTTTATCAAGTTTTGCAGCCCATTCAATTCTGCAGAGCAAAGTTTCAGTAGAACCATATATTTTGTAAAAAGTTACTCTTTAAGGTTCTTTTTAACTTTTTCCTTTGTGTAAGGATAGGCTGACTAATTTCTTTGTGCCATAACAGGATGGAGGAACCACAGCTGATGAATATATACCCACATTGTTAGAATTCCTAAAAAACAGTATGGATGAGCATTGTTAACAATTTGCTAATACATTATTTGTGATATTGATTTAGTAGTTTAAAAAAATGCATAAATCTCTCTAAAAGATTTTATTTTAAACTTTAATAATGAAAAATATCAAATTTAATAGTTATACTGATTTAGGTTTTCCATGGTCAAACCAAGCATATTTTTCAGATGAACTTAATTACGAGTGATCGAAATTTATTAAACAAAATTATTGTAAAACTTATTGCATTGTAAATTGCAATTTAGATTTATAATTTTGCATTTTGCACAAAACTATAGTTCTCAGAAAACAGGACTGATTCTATCAAATTAATAAAATGGAATTCAAGATTTTTTCTTTGTTTTTGTGCAATTAAGCATATCCACTTCTGCATTGATTTTACAAAGCAAATCTAGGTCCTTATTATGTAACTTGTTTTCAAATAAGGGTATTCAAAAGTGAGTATCTGTGTCTTGTTTTTGAATAGCTTTTCTGATGAATTGATTAATCCAGAAATTAAAAGTATTAAAATTAGATAATTACTAGTATTGAATTTTCTGTAGTTATTAATTACAGTAATTATGATTAAAATATTTAAAAAAATCTAAAAATCTATTTAAAAAACATATAGTTATTCTTAATTTATTAGAGTGAGTGAAAAAAGAACTTAGCAGAAGAAAAATCATTGATACTGGTAACTTAGAATAGTTCTAAGAGTGCTGATCACTCAAAGTTATCCAGATCATTTAACATTAAAACATAGACAGCTTTTACAATTACTTTATATACACTTCAGTGGTGCTATATTGGTTTGCATAAAATTTTATATTATTATATAAAATTATATAGTTTGTTCATAAAATCCAATAATGTGTTCCATATTTGTTGAATTCATGAATGTTTATATTAAAAATTGTCAGTTATAATTTTGTTACTTTTGTAAAATGTGGTTATCATTTACTGTTCTGATAACAATTGTCGAGATAACAATTAAGGTTTAACAAATTAATCCTCAAAATTTAGGNTGTTATTGCGTATTGGTTCGATTATAGAACGATTGTAAACGTTTCAGAAAATTGATCAAATTGAAAATAGTTCGTTTGATTTTCGGCAATTCTCTTCAGCGGTAGGTGTTATATAACAATTACTATGGTTATTGAAATATTGGATGTAAATGGGGTTTGCTTGCAAAACCTCCGCTGACGAAGTCGCGGGTAACAGCTAGTTATTATATAAAATTATATAGTTTGTTCATAAAATCCAATAATGTGTTCCATATTTGTTGAATTCATGAATGTTTATATTAAAAATTGTCAGTTATAATTTTGTTACTTTTGTAAAATGTGGTTATCATTTACTGTTCTGATAACAATTGTCGAGATAACAATTAAGGTTTAACAAATTAATCCTCAAAATTTAGGGTAGTTGAAATAAAGGTATAAATAATTAAGTAAATGTAATAATATAAATAAAAATATTTTCATACAACTCATTTTCTGAAGAATCTGAAGTATTTATGGAAAAATACTTCAGATTCTTCCATTATCTAATATAAATATTTTTTAGTATTAAAAAAATGGGTATAGAAGAGACCTTATACGTAATTTATCCTGCACCTACTCCAACCAACTAGCCACATGCAACATTTCCAACAGATGCCAGGATTGCAACCCTAACCTCGCATGCACTATAATAGAGTACAATCAACATTTAAACACCATTTATAAAGAAATTGCTGGCCATATAGATACCTAACTCACATACATGAGTCCAGCACAGTAAATAAGTTATTAGGTAACAGGAAGGACAGGACCAATGAAAGTCAAGCTCCAGGAGTATAGTGTTCCAATCAGGGACAATAGGTTCCAAAGGGATTTAATCTACATTGGTTCCACTAAACACTCATTACGAAAAAGGTTTCAAGAGCATCGGTATGATATTGCAAATAAAAGGCATACCATCACCCTGTCCATATACGCCACTGACCCTGACATGCATGTGGACCTCCATAATGCCAAGTTAATTAATTAATTTAATTAGGTAGTCCTTTCATATTGATCATATTCAGAAACTGGAAGACTTGGAAATTTACAAGGACAGTCTGACCGGCAAATGTATTAACTTTAAAGACAGCAACACTGTATCATATGCATGGAGATACATTTATGAAAAACTGGGCAACACTAACATATATTAATTTATTGGAGCCATTGTTTACACCTTAAAAATTATTGTGTAGAGGTAGTTATATTTTTATAGTTTTTGTAATGTCAACCATTCAAATGGTTTTATACTCTGCTTTGTTCATTAGTGCATACTGTAACTCGGTGAAACTATGTAACGGATATGTTCCTGTAATGCTCACTGCGGGGCAGGACTTTGTACCTTGTTTTAAATGTACAATTAAACTAATGAATGAATGAATGAATATGTTTGGTAGTGTTCCAAATTTTTAAAAATTATTTTTAAATATGTTCATTTTATGCATTCTATTTTGGAATTTTGCTGGTTAAAAACTTGATGCAGACTGTGGGTATGGTTGAAAATATTTATTTTGATTAAAATTTGTGTTACTGGAGTTCAAAGGTTCTTGATTGTGTGTGAATTGGTTCCAGTAATTTGATAAGAAGATAGTTTAATTTTAGCATTAAGATGAATATTCATCTTCTGATAAAGTCAAATCTCTTGAACATGTTGAAAATATAAAACTGAATTTGATATCTAGTGTATAATTAGATTAAGAATATTTAATACTAAATATAATTAATTAATAATAAAATCAGTAAATATTGTATAAAAATTTATTTATAAAATTTTGGTAATTGTAAATTTGATTGTTTAGAATTTGAAAATGCTGAGACTCTGCTCATATCTGAAGTAAATATGCTTTTGGAGCATAGAAAACAGCAGAATGAGAGTGCAGAAGAGGAACAAGAACTGTCGGAAGTTTTTATGAAAACTTTAAGTTACTGTCAACGATTCAGTCGTTTTAAAAATCGTGAAACCATATCCGCTGTAAGAAGGTAAATTTCGCTATTATTTATTACTATTATCATTATTTGTTAAATTAAATCAATATATTATGTAACTTATTCTTTTAGTCTTCTAATGCAAAAAAAACTTCATAAATTTGAGCTTGCACAATTAGCAAATTTATGTCCTGAAACACCTGAAGAAGCAAAGGCATTGATACCAAGGTAAATAGCTATTAATTTAAATTAAATGAAGTTTTTATTAAATATTTTTTAAACATTAAAATAAAATAGAAAATTTTTATTACATTTTGATCAAACTAATCAATATGAATTTTTTTAGCATTCTAATTTCAAACTATAACTTTATATTATGTATGTATTTACATCTGAAAACATATGTACAGAATTACATCAGTAATTCAAAAATTTAAAGAAAAAAAATTATTTATTTGTTTTATTTCTAAATGTATTGTTTGATTCAACTATTAAATGAAAGATATCAAATTTCTCTTGTATGCTGTAAAATGGATGAATCAGAATCTACCATCATACACTTTAATATCATTTTAAAGGATTAAAATGATGTTATATGTTTCTTAAAAAATTATTATATGATTATAGATCAGCTGTGAATACTCTAATGATCTTGACATAAATTTAGAATGATAGATAAAAAGTAAAGGAGAAAAGTTTAGGAGAAGTCGTAAGGATGAAGTAGCTGCTGTGGTTATTCAGGCAAATTAATCAATGCATCTTTAACAGTGGGTGAAGTTTAAATACAGTAATTTTAATATTTTTGACCCAGTTAATGGGTTATCTTCAGCCATGGTCAGCTGAAAGTAGAAGGCTGATGTCAAAAGGAAGATGAGATATATGTTAATAAAGTAAACAATTGAAGTCTACTGCACATTGTATACTTTATTATAATAAGTACAATAAATTACAATATAACAGTAAGAAAAGTGTTTACCTTGTGGCATATTAACACACACACACACACACACGTATATATATATATATATATATACCATTCAAATGGTTTTATATACATTTGGTAGTGTTTCAAATTTTTAAAAATTATTTTTAAACATGTTCATTTTATGCATTCTATTTTATTATATATAAAATAGAATGCATAAAATGAACATATATGTAGTAGAAGGCTGAAATTACATCAGTAATTTAAAAATTTAAAGAAAAAAAATTATATTTATATATTAATTTCTGTATTTCAGTGTTTCAGAAGATAAAGTATCTAGAAAACAGTTAAGCTTGAATAGTAAAGTGTTTGTCTAGAGATATTCTCATCACTATAGTTTAATCATCTTATGATTAATGATGACACTGAACTAGTACATAAAAAACCATAACCTTTATTTTTTACAAAGATGCATACATCATCCTCCATTTCTTCATTTACTCATTCTTACAAATAGTTCATTTGGCCTTTTTGTTTTTAAAATTCTTGTAAAACTGTGGTAAAAGGATGAATTATGATAAATGAAATATTTTTCTGATTAGTGAACCAATCCAATATGAAAACTTTTATGTTCTTTACATGAAGGATGTGAAAAATATCATTTTGGAATTTTTAACTGATTTTCTTTAACTAATTTAATACAGAACTAATTTTCTTTTCTTTTTTTTTTTGGAAGATTATTTACAAGAGCTGATATTCTAATCCACATAAAACAAAAATATAAAATTATTTTGGCAATGTAATGTATAGCAATATGAAGTATTCAACTTGTTCAGTTAAAAATTACCAAATATATAATAAATTCAAAAACTCATTTTTTGTTTAATTCTTTATATTAATTGATTTTGATAAAGTAAATGTATCTTTTTTTACATACAAAATAATTCTTGATTAATCAAGTTGTTATTTACAGTTTAGAAGGCCGATTTGAAGATGATGAGCTTAGACAAATTCTTGATGACATACAAACACAAAGAAGTTTTCAATACTAGAATATATGTTCCAGGTTTGTTTAACTACATTGAAATTGGACACTGATTTTTATATTTATCATAAATTTCTTTATATAATATACATCTTTGTATAGTTTCAATTATAATAAAGAAATAAATATCTTCTCATCTGTACAAAATCATATGGAATAAAATGAATAAATTTTCAGATTCCTTTTTCTGTCTTTGCTCTGAGATTAAACATATCTTCTAAAATATTCCATAAGCAATTCCCTTTTGGATAATCATTGTCAACTAGAT